AGTGCCTGGGGGGCTTGGTTAGGTGTCTGACTCTTGATCTCAGCTCAGGTCTTAACCTCAGGGTCATGAGTTCAAGCCGCGCGCGCGCGCATGTGTGTGTTTAAGCAAAAAAAAAAAAATCTCGACAAGAGTGCTTTCTAAATTACCTTCAAATTACATAATGCAAAACACTGTGTTTATGCTCCATATCCTCACATCTCCCGTTGTATACAGAAAGCCTAAAATTTCACAGATTAAATTCAATTAACAGAAGGTTAGGGGTTCAGGCAAATGCAACCCCACATTTAAATAAATGTTAATTGAGGAGCACCTGGGTGGCTCAGTCAGTTAAGTCTCCGCCTCTTGGGATTCTCTCTCTCCCTCTCTCTGCCCCTCCCCTGCTCATTCTCTCTCTCAAAACTAAGTAAGAATGAATGAATGAATGAATTTTAATTTAACCCTAAAGAAACTGAGAAAGGAGGATTAAGGTAGGCTAACCTCACACCTTTCCTCTCCAATGGTTACTGTGTTCCTAAGACAGGCCTTGGCTAGAATTCCCTGAAGTATACTTCTCAGCAAGGTCAGGGATATCTGGAGAACAGAGCTCTACTTTCATTACAACACCCTGATTCACCAGAATCTGAATAACCCAAGTGATGTCACGAGTGAAACTAAATTCCCTGCCAACCTTTTCATCTTCCACCGAGTTAGCTAGTGAAAATATGGGTATTAAACCCTCCACAAATTGCCAAATGCTCACAGAATCCTAAAATTCAGACAAAACAACAACAAAAGACTTTAGCTTTGAAATACATCTTCCTCTATTTGATTACGTCCCCTTTGTCCATCTAATTTCCTCAGCCCACCTTGGTAGAAGGTACCAGCCAGATCAGAGCAGTCTCCAACCGAATTGTCTTTAGAAAATTCAGAATGAGCAGCTGGTTTGCAGGCTTCCCTGGAAGAATGAAGGGCAGCTCCTTCAGAGTCAAAAAGATGACAGTGACTCAGAGGTCCACTGAGGCACACTTTCCACAGGACAGTCAGGTAGATCAACAAGCAATGACAGCAGGAGTGTTCAACACTAAAAGAAACCTCATCTATTCCCATCTACTCTCATCAACAGTTCGATCCAATTCTCATCAAACCTAAACAAGGAGAGACTGGCAAGAAATTCACATTTCCCCCCAGTCAAGGCCTTCCCCACCAATGACACAGAATTTAGAAACAAAACAAAGACAACAGAAAAACTCACATAAACACAGTTAGCATTATTTTTAGAAACAACTTTCATTTTCATTTCAATTTACTTAAAATTCAAAACTTGCAAATAATAGAAACAGCATTTAATTGTCACTAAAACCGGAAGCTGCTGCAAAATAAAATATACTATTTCAGAGTCAAACTCAAGGATCTGTGTGTTGTAAAATATTTGGTCTTTGTTACTCTCTCAGCATTCAATTTGTAAAAAGGAAACATGCTCTAGTTTGGTTAATTAACCACTAACATAAGTCAAATAATGAACGTGGCCGCCTCCTAAGTAAATCAGAATAGATTAACGGAATCCTCTGAGTGTATTCGTCTCAACAAATTTCAAAGCCACCACGGTAACTCTGTCTGGAAGTCCAGAAAGAGGAAATGTGCTTCTGTGTGTCAACAGTAGGCGAGTCTTCAAGGAGCCCCATTGTTCCCGTGCGCTAGGAGCTCAGCTCTTCGGAACTGGCAGGAGCTGGGACAGGAAGAGGAGTCAGGCCTCTGGGGCTGGTCACCAGAGCACGCCCGGGCCAGGCCCGAAGCAGCAGGTGGTCGAGGGGCGCTTGGAAACAATAATGTGAAGACGCCGATACAAGGCATCAGAAGAGCCACAAGTCCTACTCCTTTGCCGTAATTTGCAATCCAGAAGCTTTAGCAGAAGTCTGCAATTCTGTCCTATGGCAGCCTCCCTCCTCTCTCTCCCCAGTGTTTATGGCCCTTACCCAACTCCTCCTGGTAACAACAGTATTATCTTACAACCCCTACAGCATGCCTGAAAACACAGCAGAGAGATTCAAAAGCCATCATTTCGGTCCAAGAATGACTATTCCGGCACACTGACAAAGAGAAGCCCACTTGGATAAACAAAAAACCTATTTTCACAAAACAAGGAATTGGATTAAGCTAGTAACATCCAACAACATCTAAGCCAAATGATGCAAACAAAACACCATGAGAGAAATTTATACCATGACTTAAATGGCACAAATAGGGAAATCCTCTCCTTGCTGAGCCTCTTGGGTCCCTTCTTACATAATGGCTCCTGGCAGCCACAGGCCCTAAAATAGCTTTCCTTCCAAGATGACCATTATCCGAAGGCCCACTCTTTCCAGAGTTAAACCAACTCTCAAGTTTTAGAACAACGTTCATCTGTCAAGGGTGTAGAATGAAGACAGAGCTTGCCTTCAGCTGGCTTGCAAGGTGACAAGGCCGGTAAGAGGAGACTGAGCCGGCAGCTAAGAAACCCTGCTCTGCCTGGTGTCACTAAGCAGCCTGGTGACCACAGGCACAGCCTTAACCTCTCTGCTACTCAGAGTTTCCCTCAAGTAAATGGATGGCCTCCAGAGACCAAGTCCTGTAAAGGTCTGTGAGTCTAAAATAACAGGACCCACGTTAAGTCACCCCACCCAGGCCGAGGAAATTGTGTTAGGGGCCTAACGCTACTCTGCGGGGCAGGTACTAAATACTCTCAGCGGCAGCCCAGCAAGAACTGAAATACGTCAACTCAAATGCAGAACGAGTGGAAGCTAAAGCTGAACCGAACACAGCACAGACCCAGAAGGTGCAACAGATAGAGGTTAGCTGTCCATGTCCACGGCACACGTTACCCGGCAGTCTCAGGCTAGGACTTGCTGCGATGGCTCAGACCTGCTGGGAAGCACGATGAGGAAGTGGTGATAGGCTGAAATTCTGTCCCAGTTTAAATAACATACCAAGAACTGTACTAAACGCCGCCTGTGCAGCTTTTTTCAAGAAAAGCAAATTGTCTGGGGAAAGAGGTGGGCTTAATTTAACTCAACATTTCACCTGGTACAGGACAATTTTCATTTAATATTCCGCTTCATCTACTGGCCAGCAAAATCCTCTTCTACCTAATGTCCACGGTCCTCTTCCATTTATTCCTTTCTGGTTAAGGTAGTAGGTGTTGGAAAAATGCAATACAAAGGGTCAGCAAGACCTCTGGAGGAGTGGAGCATGGCTGACGGACCAAAGATACATGCAGGCCAGGAAGACACGCATCCCAGCAGAAAGGGAGGACCACTCAAGAAGTTCACCAGAAGTCTATTATTTCTGCTCTGCAAACCAACTGAGAAACAAAGAGGCCCTTCTGCCAACAAGTTAGGAGGAAGGGGGGGCCCCGAGAAGCCCACAACAGAACGCACTCTTCGGAAGAGGGGGAGTTGTGGTAGCTTGCTGCTGAAGGATGGCAGTGTTGTAGGATAGTTCCTAGTGGCTCCCACCTTCCAGACACGGTCCAGACAGGCAGCGGCTCACGGGGAAAACAAGACTCACAAAAGGAAGAACCCATTTACTGGCAATCATCTTCAGCCACACTGAGCAATGGTGAGCAAGTGAAGCTCCAGAGACTGCTGGGGCGGAGGCTGCGACTAGCAGGGTGGTGTGCAAGGCGGCCCGAGCCCAGGACAGGGGCCCTAGTGCTGCCGTTCCCCAGCAGGCCAACCCGGGTCTGGGAAGGACAGAAAGCAGAGTGGAGGCTGACCCAAGAAACAGCCAATGGGGCCTATGAACCCAGAAAATGTAAAACCATTAAAGGCCAGTCACTTTGTAATTTGACTACTGATTTGTTATTTTTGCCAACCGTCATTTCCCTGTGATGTGTGCTATTATTGGGTTGAAAAATGGGATAAAAGGTCAGGAAACAGTTTCTTCTTCCTTAGAGGACAGGATGAAATGCAGCTCTCAAGGCAAACTGAAGAGACACAGCCACAACTGAGAGCCAGCACACACTGGCCAGCCCCTAAGATGCCCCAAGGGTCTCCTCCGATATTCAGGCCCTGTGTCGTCCCCTCCCCTGCAGGTGCTCAGAAGCTGGGCCCCGGATTCCTGACCCCACAGAAACTGTGAAATAATGACTGTGGGTTATTTTACACTGCTAAGTTTCAGGGGCCCCTGGGTGGCTCAGACAGTTGAGTGTCCAACTCGTGGTTTCCGCTCAGGTCAGGACCCCGCTTGTGATTCTCTCTCCCTCTCTCTACTATTCCCCCACTCGGGCTCTCTCGTGCTTACTCTCTCAAAATAAAGATGTAACCTTTAAAAATAAATAAGAAATAAACTGCTAAGTTTCAGAATACATTATCCAGTAACTGACAGCAAAAATATCCCATTTCATGAAAGCCTTCAATATAAAAACTTAAGCAATTTAAGTACCAAATCTTCCAACTCGGTAGCAGCTACTTTTCTTACCTTTGGGCTCAAAGACTTCATTAAGGCCTAACAGAAGGACATAACGTAGTCAAGAGTTTATACGGTATATAGTTTCTTAATATTTGTTTGTGATGAGGAAATATATGCATGTGGTGCAAAATTCAAAAGATCCAATAGAAAGACCGCATCATGTTAGATGTCTGCATCAATGTATGCCAATAAGGCCACCCTCAAATCCAGCCTTGTGTCAGGCTCTGTGCTGACAGTGCAGAGCCTGGCTGGGATTCTCTCTCTCTCTCTCTCTCTCTCTCTCTCTCTCTCTCTCTCTCTCACTCAAAATAAATCAGAAAGAAGGGAGGGGAGGGGAGGAGAGGGGAGAAGAGGAAGAAAAAAAGAAAGAAAACCTCTAACAACTCTAATAAAGAAAACCTCTTTTATGAAATTCTATGTGCTAAGAGGTTCCAATGCATATTTTACCTGAAGTCAAAATCATTACAGATATTTCAAAGTGTGACTACATCATCTTTCCAATCACTGTATTATTTAACCAAGTTTTCTAAGTCTTCTATGGGGGAAAAAAAAACTTAAAAATTTCAACTAACACAGAGGCTGTACTGTGCTTCATATAGTAATATGAGAATGATACAGAAGAGATCAACATGATCCCTGTGCAAAGATGACAAATTTATGAAGCGTTCCACATTTGGGGGGAGGTACAACTTACGGTAAATTAAATGCACAGATCTTCAGAGACAGCTGAGCCTGGCTATTATATATACCCGTGGATCCACCAGTCCAATCCAGAAGAGGACACCTGCGTCACCTCTGAAATTTCCCTGTGTTCTTCTCTGGTTGATCTAACATGCTGCCAACCCCTCCTTCCCCCAACAGTGGCAGCCTCTACTATGATTTTTATTCACCATAACTTATTTCCACTATTCTGGAACTGCATGTAAGTGGTCAGTTTAAAAACAAGAAAATCATGGCTAACAACACACACACACAAACAAACACACACACACACACACACACACACACACGAGGCTGTGCATACCAGGGTGTAATGGCTGGAGTTATTCAATCTCTCATTTCTCATACCGTCCCCACTAGCTGCTGCTTGTGTATTATTTCCCAGGGAAAACACATAACTTTAGAGTTAAGATGATTCAAAACTGTTGGTGGCTATAGGTAGACAAATAAGTCACAGCTTTAAATGAAATGAATCATTACACTTGCTGAATGCTCACAAATGGCCATCTCCGTCCAACAACACTATGTATGTCTGACTCTTTGAAGCGGGAGGCGCCATACATAATGTGCGATGCGCATCTCATTTAAACCTCACGCTACTCTTACCTCCTCCTCCAACAGCTCTCAGATGGCTCAACTCCAGACAAATTAATGTGAGAACCTGGATACCTGGTCCTCCATTAAAAAAAAGAAAAAAGAAAACTTCTCAAAACTCAGGATACAGAGCAAGTTGCTTGCTTCCTGCCCGCAATCTGCTTTGTGAATCAGGCCTACAGTAACTTTGAGGGAGTTAACTGAAATTCTGAAAAGCCACAGACCAATCCATATTTCAAAGATCCAGAACAAAGAATGCTCTCTTTCTGAATGGCAGTGAAAGCAAGACGGAAGAAAGGCTGACAGAAGGATGCCCTGATTTCTACATGCCTCAGGAACATTTTCTGAATAGCTCCAATTCAACGATGAGAACTCTAACATCAGGTGAGCGCTGCCTCAGATGTGAGCTACTGAAGGATTAACACTCTTACTCTGGTTCGTCTTTCTGCAGTACTTAGCACAGTCAGGAAAACCACACTTTTGGTCACCAGACAGAATCTACAAGTTATTCTCTCTTGTTTTCCAGTTTCAATAACCTCAATCCCCAATTTCCAGTCCCTTTTATTACTTTACTGCTTCACAGTGACGGTGCGCCCCTACTGTCCAGCCATGAAATACTCAAGAGGCGCAGAGGGGGCATTTCTGGGTCTCACATTATTAAACATAATTAAAAGGTACATAGCTTATGATATTACTAATCTAATAAACAATTTCACAGCCTACACAACAATTATGTATATAAAACTGAACACCTCTCAAGTATCAACTATGCCACAAGAATAGAAGGAAGCCTTTTGAATCGTACTATTTAAAATCTAAGATTCAAGAAGGAGTGCGAAACCTTAAGTCACACATATAATACAGTAATTAGAAAACAGTTCACTTCCGGGGTCATAGGTGTCAGTTTACAATCATTCCAAGATGTTACTGTTTTCTCCTTATGTAATGCTTAAAAAAGCATAGCAAGATAATTATACATGTAGTAAAGAAAAGCTTTTTACCATTGTATAACGTGGTTAAAAATATTTCAAGTTCAAATCTGAACCCTGGTAAGAAGTAATACAAACTACTGGACATTCTGACCTATGAGCTGGTTCTATTTATTCCACGGTAAAGAAAAGTGAAAAACTATGTTTTTTTGTTGTTCATAAAGAATCCTCTGGCTTCCTGTAAAATCTACTGCAATGTAACAACAATTCAGGACTTTGGATCTTTCTGACATCCTCCTTTGCTCCTTAATTAGATGTTTCATTGGCTTTCAAGTGAAACTCAACTACTGGCTCTGAGATCTACATTTAGTTAGACATTTTAAGCCACCCTGTCATCATTATAGAGCACTGCCTAATGAGGTCCCCTCAGACAAGGGCTGGCCTGACAACAACCCACAGTTAATACTAAAATGATCCAAGATTTCCTACTTTCTCTCAATTTGAAAAAGACTTAGTGAGCCCTCCTCCCTAAAACAAAACAAACAAACAAACAAACAAACAATTCATAAGGGCTACTTCTGCTTGAAGCACTCCCAAGAGAACTGTATAACCAAGTGGAGACAATATAAACTCACATAAATGCACAAGTTCAACTCTGAGTCCTTGAACATGGAATCTCCCTCCTTGATAATGCACAAAAACCACACACTGATCACTTCTATGCTATCCTCGAGTTTAAGGAGTGAGGGTGGGAGGAGCCTAGCAGAAGGCAGTGCAGCAGGGGTGGAGAAGGGAGAAAAGAGTAGACAGGAGAGGTGTCAGAAATGACCATGGGCCATGAAGAGCTGGCTGGAGAGGGTAAAAATGGGTTGGTGAGTTTCTCCAGAGTATATGAATCCAACACCTTCATTTTGGGGTGAAGAAAACCGAGGCCATGATGACAAAGCCAGTAGGTGAGAAGGCCTGGTTGCCTGTTGAGAGGGCAGGATGCAGAGGCAGTAAACAAAGAGGCAGAGTACCTCTGATGTGCTCACATAGCACCTTCCTATGTGCCTCACACTCTCCTCTAAGAAAGAGCACAAGCTGGAGGAAGAAGAGGTTGTACAGCTGGAGGAGGAGCCATCAGGGAAACACAACTGTTTAATGGGCTTCCATCTTCAATGGGGTCTACATGACATACGATGTTTGTAATCTGGTTGAGATTTTTTCACTTGAAAGGCCAAGATTAACTCCTCTCCCCAAATAAAGGAACACCCTACTAGCTTTGCAATCACAGAGTAGACAGTACAGAGAAAACTGAGACAGATGAAGAGGTTTAATAAATAAATCAGACTTTACTAGAAAGAGCAAAGTGCCCCTTGATGTTAAACAGCTAAACCTGAGGTATCTGTTCTTTAGGGCCCAGGTCTAAAATAGACGGTTTGATCCTTGAAATGGGCTTTGTAGAGAAGAAAGCCTCCTTTCAATAAGCATAATCATTAACTTAGAGGCGGTGGAGAACCATAAAAACCAATGCTTCTGATACTTGAACATGCATAGGAATCACCTGGGATCTTGTCAAAATGCAGATTCTGATTCAGTATACCTGGGATCAAGACTGAGATTCTACCAGGCTCCCTAGTGAGGCTGACGCCATCAGCCCAATCCATGGACCATACTTTAAGCAGCAAGGCCATAAAAAACGTGAGGTATGAAAGTCACATTTCAAGGTATGTTTATTTCACAACTTGGTCTGCTAGCTACAAAACAGTGACATGTTGAGTCTTTTTCCTTCTGATGATTGACAGGAAATGTCAACATCATTTGCAGGGGGGCGGGGGGCTTAAGCCCAATTAAGTATAAAAGCATTTGATTATTTAATCCAACAGAATTTGCGGGCTCAGGGGGGAACAGCACAGTCAACAAAGGGACAGCAAAGGGTGATAGTTATGGAACCTGATTTAAGTAAGTCCTCTTGAGTGGCCAAAAGGACCAAGTGTTCATTTGCATGAAAGCGCATCTTTCCTTAAATGAAAAGGAAATTAACCCCCATTTGCTCTCAAATGGGCACTGTGTTGTTTTCCAGGAGTCCTGAGGCTTTTGTCCCAACAGCCCAGCAGAAAGCCCGAGACAAGACAATGGAGCAGAGTTGCTCTAATTCAGCTATGTAATTATTAGTACTAGTACTGGACACCATTTCTTTCCATAGGCTGTTGTGCCTTAGTAAAAACGTAAGCCTTTGGAAGACTATCTTAAAGTCTTTGTGGGCTATTCCTTATTTGAGGAATAAAATTTGAAAAACTAGCCTTATGAAGCAATGTGGCCTTCTTTGGAGGTCTTGACTCAAATCCCTGCCAGTTATTCGTTGTGCGACCTTAGGCAAATTACTTCAGCTTTCTGTTTTCTCCACTATATAATGAGGACAACAGGTTCCAGTAAGGTCATGTACTTTGAGCACGGAATAGCTCAGTGGCTGGCCCAGTAAGGTTCAAGGGTAGGGTTATCACTGTTAACCATCAGGGCCACCTTCTCCAACTGACCCAACCAATCCCAGTTTGCACTGTACTAAATACACACATAGCTGGGTAGGCACTGTTCTCAGCCAGCTTACATTCCAAGCCAGCAACACACAGAAGTCACACCCACTTTTTAAACATCGCTGATAATTCCTGATTTCTTTGTGATTGTAAGCACAATGGTATTCAGGAAAGAAGAGTCTACAGTATGCACAACCATTCTCTTCACTGTCCCCAATCCCATCTTTCCTTCCCTGTCTTTCCCATCACCCTCATTCTGTTCAAGCACAGCACAGCATCCCAAAACACTCCATACCTGCCCCCGCACAGTGCAAGCAGGAACGGACTGCCCTTTTTCTGCCGACTTAGTCCTGAACACATGGGGAGGACTATTTACCAAAAGCAAAACCCTGGAGGACCGTTCTTTACAAATAAGTGTGTGTGATTAATACTTTAAAGTCCACAGTCGTTCCATACACATTATCTCAATCAATCCCAACAATAACCGTGTTTAGTATTTAGAACCACTACTCTTATTATCATTAAAAGATAAAGTCTCAAGAGTTTGAAAGAAGAGACAAGTTCATGGCCACCCAAACTTTCTGTATGCTCCCTTATTCTCTAAGGCAGAGATCTCCCCAACAAGAAGGTGATGGGGAGACGAAGGTATCTTTGTTACTGGAACCATCTACATAATTCAGTTACACATGATTCTGACAGAGACTGCTGGAGCCCATTTTTACCAGAGCGAGCTGCGCCCTGCTAAGATATCAGGGTCTGTAAACCACAGCCCACACTCTGGAGGCTCTTAATCACAGCTTAAACACCATCTACTGTGTCCGAATGTAAATGGCAACACTGAGTCAAGGCTGAAGCCAAACCTCTGCATTCTCCCCTTGGTAAAGGGTCCTGCCCCATAAAGACCCTTCCCCTGAGCTT